CACCTTGCAGCTGGGTGCTGGGGATCCACAGAGGGGGGCTCCTCCTCCCAGCCCTCTCCTGGGCATCAGATGACGCACCACTTGACACAGATACACTCTGCCCAAAGGATGTAACTTTGTGTCTCAAACATCGCCATGTGCCCAAAGGCTGGGGACACGGGAGGCAGGTGGCTCACCCACTCCGATGCCAGTGCACACGGAGCGGCTTTGATGTTATTTCCCCGCCTCCATTTCCCTCTATAAAGGGACGGGATCGAGCCAGATGAGGTGGTGCAGACTCTTGAGCTCTCAGGTAAGGTCAGTCCATCTTATGGAAAGCAGCGACATGGGCTGTGGGTTCAAATCTTGCTCTTGCACTGTGGGACCTTGGGCTCAGGACTCAACCTCTTTGAGGCTCAGTTCTGTCATCTGTGAAGTGGGGACAGCGATAATACCTTCCTCACTGAGCTGCGTGGATGACTGGGGCCTTACATTCTCAAGTCCTGACACAGAGCGGGCATGTACATTGGTGTATTATGACTCTTTTAGACTGTTTCTAAATGATCTTTGTTTAAACAACTCTCACTCCCCTCCCTCCCTCTCTCTCTCTCTCTCTCATCAAAATAGAGGACGGCAATGGGAACGATTTTTATTTTTTAACCTAACAGGCACCCTTACTATGGCCCTCATGTTTTTGCCAAACCCGAGGACCCCGATTTAGTTCCTAGGCCCTGTGAGGAGTCCTAGTTTGAACAGCCTGGCCTGACCCTGCTGAAGCGTCTCCTCCAGGCTGGAAGCCGGAATGGCTGGTCTGTCTGCTTTGTGTCGTTCCTGGACGGGAGGTTGTCTCTGCTTGCAGGCTGTGAAATCCCCCGCATACATCAACCCTAATGTATTCTCTCTCAGATGCTCATCATATTAAGGCTCCTGGTAGATACCTTGCTCGAAATGAATTTTATGGGCATACACCCTCACCCTCATCCCATGCATTTGTGGTTGGGAGGAGAAATACAGCCTGATCCTTCCTCGGAGGGCAGGCCCAATCGCAGCAGTTAGGCAGAAACTTGTGGCCCTCCTTACCCTGCTGAGGGAGGTGCTCCAGGGATCCGTTGGCCTTCCCTGCAGCCCTCAGCCAGGCCAGCCGTTTGTTTGTTCACACAAAGAGCCCCCCCCAGCTTTCAGGGGCTCAGTGCAGGCACCCCCATGCTGCTCAGTGATGGAGCATGGAGGGCCTTGCTCACGCCTTCCTGCTGCTCAGCACCCCTTTGTTCTTAAATGCTTTCCTGAGCTGGGAGGGCTTCTGAGTTCGCAGGCCTCCCCTACAAAGGCAGGCGTGGGTCTGAGCTTGACCCCGACTTTAACAAGCCTGGCCTTCCCATCCCATCCCCTCCACACCTGCCTGGACACCTTTCTGCAACCTTTCTCTGACTCAGCCACCTACAAGGTCCCAAAGGTCATGTGTGCAGGAGGAATCTGCACCCCTTTAGGGCCCTTCATGGCTCTCCTGTCCTAAGCTGTCCCACTCTATCCTCCCCCAGCTCCCCCCCTCCCTGACTGGACTCTTCCCACCACAGGAGCTCCTGGCTATGGCCCCTCCCATTCCCAGGCCTTCCAGGTGCTATCAGCTCCTCACCCAAACCTCCCCTGTGTCCATGGCTGCCAGTCCCTGACGCCCCTGGACTGTACACCCCTGAAGAGGGGCCGGGCGGGTGCTGGTGAGCACCTACTAGAGACAGACAGCTATGCCCCAGCCATGTGATGAGGGCCTTCTGGGAGCCTGCATGGGAGGGTCATAGGTCCACAGGGACTCCCGCGAGGGCTCCATGAGGTAAGGGTGCACCATGGTTGAGCACCTGCCGTGCACTGGGCCCGGCCCAAGAATATTACATGGATTGATTCATTTACTCTTCACAGTAATGCTGTGAGGCACCACTGTCATCGCCGCCCCCTTCCACAGGTGAGAAAACTCAGGCGGAGAGTGGTGGAGTAATTTGTCCCAGGCTAAAAGGGAGAGCCTGTGGCATGGTGGTTAAGTCAGCTGGATCCCACATGGCCGACTGTGCAATTCAAGTCCCAGACCTGGTGGCTTGAAAAGCATGCAAGGTGCTTGTACATACACCCAAATCCCAGGAGGAGAATGGAGGAGAAGGGGTTGTGGCATGACCTTCCCCCCTGGAAGTATGCTCTCTTTCTGTCTCTGATGAAAAGAGAACCAGGATTTAGGCTCAGGCAGTTTGGTTCCAGAATCCACTACCCCTTCTTAGAAGGAAATTCATGCAGCCATCACGGGCTTAGCACTTTGCCGCCCACGTGGGACTCTGGGATAACTACTTACCGAACAGTTTCTTTCTCAAAGATGAAATCTTCTGCATTTTTTAAAAAAGAATTATTTATTTATTTTTAATTAATTTATTATTCTTATTTTTTCACATGAGTTTTGCCAGAGAAAAAGAGAGAGAGAGAGTGAGAAAGCAAGCCACCACATTCGGGACTTAAACTGTGGTCAGCCATATGGGAATTCCAGCACCTTAACCACCACGCCACCTGCTGGTCTCTGAAGTTGTTTTTATGTCCTCTATGAACTGGGACAATTAGCAGATACCTACAGATTTCTACCTCACTGTGACTCCTGCTGGTTTTCATGAGGCTGTTTGACTTGAGAAAGAGATCAAAAGGCAAGGGGTCCACTGAGGGCCGCGACTTTCAGGCAAAGGATGGTGGCTACTCAGGTCATAAAGGGAGTAGCCTGGATAGGGGTGCATTGGGTGCCAGGACCTGTGTAGACAGAACTAGTGGGAGCATTGAGTGAGCCTCTGATGAGCCTGTCTGTGCATCTCAAGTGCAAACACCTTAGCACAGCTGAAGCTTTCTCTGCGCAGGTTTTGGTGTGTTCAAGTTTCCCCAGTGCTTTGAGGCTCATTCCCTTATGTGAATGTCTTAAAATTCTGTCCCAACTAACAAATGTGATATGAGTCAAGAAACGCTGATGTGTCGTGAGATTTAGTTTTAGAACGTTGTTGGTGTTTTGAAATGTGCAGGGGAAAGTAGTGAAGAACTGTTTCTAAACGAGCTTCGTAGAGAGGATTTGAGCAGTGATAAGCCTCTGTGGGTTACCCTGTGGTCCAGGCTCTGCTAGGCCGTGAAGATGCAAAGCTGAGAAAGAAACACTGTCCCTGCCTCTAAGGATCCCAGCTTGGGAAAGACTGTGTGGATAAACAATTAGCAAAAGTGTTCATGGGTTAAGGGAGTTGGACCACACATGACTTCTGTGGTTCAAATCCTGGCCCTGGGGATTTGAAAAGTACACAAGGCACATATGCATGTATGCCCCAAATCCGTGCAGGATGGAGAAATGGAAGAGAAGGGACTGCGGCATGACTGTGCACCACTGGGTGGGAAGGGGAGTGCCTTCTCAGTCTCTTTCTCTGGCGAGTGCACAAACCTCTGGCAAGTCTAAGAAAAAGAAAAAGAAAGAGCAGTGTTATGTATAATAAAAGAGAAAGCAAGCTGCCAGGTCCAGAACTCCCCCTGGAGTTGCTCCTCTGCCGACAGGCAGTATCAGGAGGATGCTGTGGGGAGATGAATGCTTGCGCTTCAATGCTTTTGTTCCCTGTCATTGTTACTGTTCTTTCTTTTCTTAACAGTACAGGGTAAAACGGTTAGAGGTACTAGCACTATATGTTAGTTCATCCGACCATCGAAGCCTAACCGTCTTGTGGATTTGAAATATTCAATCATTCAAAATACTTCCCAGCCCCCAATCAAACTCTTGGTAAAGATGGGATGGCAGGGAGAGAGACCTCGGATAGGAACTGGATGGGGCAGTGGTTAGGGTTCAGTTGCAGACAACAGACTCCATTTTTACTATTTAAATGGAAAATGACTAATTGCAGGTATGAGGTGGCTTTCAACTTGAGGGAGCCAAGCTTCCAGGGCTGAGCTTCCAGGAATAGCTTTCAGCCCCCAGAGTTTCATTGTCTCTGCCATGACTAATCAGGACATTACAACCTCGACACCTCCGAGCCCCCGCCAATACCCACACCAGCGTGACGAGAGCCTGCCCCTCAGCCGTCTCTGTGTTCAACTCGGTTCTGAATTCAGGTCTCCCCTAAGTGCAGCTGACTAACAGACCCTAAGTCACACTCACAGCCTGAACTGCAAGGGCACCTGCAAAAGTGTTTTCCTTCCAATTGCCAGAAGGCACTTGGGCTCACCAGAGAAAAACAGAGAGAGGGAGGGAGAGAGAGACAGAGAGAAAGCAGTCCCCAGTGGGGCGTGGTCCTGCTGCAGTCTCTTCCATTTCTCCATTCTGTCAGCATGTTGGGTATGCAGGCATACGCACCCAGTATGTTTTTCAAGCTCCTAGGCCTTGATTCGAACCATGGTCAGCCGTGTGGGATCCGGCTCCCTTAACCACTAGGCTATGGGCGGCCCTGAAAGGTAGTTTCCAGCTCTCCTGTCTATGGCACGGGAAGGCACGTGAGGAGGGGATATTAACTGAGTCAGTCCGTGGCCTCTATGGCAGTTCTTTGAAATATTGAGGTTCTCCCTCCAGAAGCACTCAGGCTTGGGCCCTGGCCAACCCCCCGCCCCCCTACCACACACACACACATCACGTGCTTTTCAGGCCAGCTGGCCTCCCAGTCTGTGCCTAGGCAGGGTCCACTTTGGGGGTTGTTCTCAGCACAGCTTCTCCCCAGTAGTAGAACGACGTGGATGCAGAGGTGACCATCGCTGGGCCTCCCTGGCCTCTCGGCTGTGGAACTGCAGTTGGCATAAACTGGGTGAGCTGATTCTGCCAGCCTCATGAGCCTCTTAGGCACAGGTGGCCCCTCTGGGCCAGAGCACACAGCCTGGGCAGCACACAGCAGCTGCCGAACCTCCCCGACCACAGGGTGCCACCTGTACAGATCTGCGCAGTCCCGTCTGGGCCCCGCGGGTGGCACGGGAAGGCGTCAGCACGGGCCAGTCTTGACGGCTCACAGAAAGCTGACGCTGCCTCTCTCTCTCCTGTCCTGCAGAGATCCCCCAGTGCGCTGGCTGCAACCAGCATATCCTGGACAAGTTCATCCTGAAGGTCCTGGACAGGCACTGGCACAGCTCCTGCCTCAAGTGCGCGGACTGCCAGATGCAGCTGGCGGACAGGTGCTTCTCCAGGGCCGGGAGCGTCTACTGCAAGGAGGACTTCTTCAAGTAAGTCGGAGCCCTGGCCGTGGCCGCCTCTCCACCCCAGCCGCCACTGCCCCTGCAGTGATGGGGAGTTTGCAGTGAGGAAGTGCAGGTGCCACCAGGCTGTGATGGGTGAATCCTGGTGACAAGGGCATGCCCTCACTGATGCCCCCCTTATGACCACTGCCCAAGGGCCAGGACTCTGCCTCCCCTGAACTTTGCAAGGGGTGGTGGTGGGAATCAGTGGGGGGCACAGGCTGGGCTTCTCTAGGGGCTCCCCGGGCATCTCTGCAAATCCCCCAAGGAGTCGCTCTTTCTGTCTCGGTGACCTGATGCCTCCAGCACTTGCTGTATCTTTGGAGACCTTCGGCTGGGAGCCGTAGGTGTATGCCTGCTCTAGGGGAGTCTAGGCTGTTTCCCCAGGCTGTGTCAAGGGCCTCCCTCTCAGGCTTGGGAGAGTTGCGCCTGGCAGGAGCCCAGCTGGCCTCGGCTGGTCAGTGTCATCACTTTAAACGGAAACATGATGAAGAGGCAGTTTTGGGTGACCGTCTGAGCCTGCACCCCGCCTGGCTTAGCAGCTCTTATTGGCTCCTGCGTGCTCTTGGGAAAGTTGATGAACTCCCTGTGCCTCAGTCTCGGTGTCTGTAAAGGGGGCTGCTAATGACAGTTCTTACTCCGTAGGGTTGTCATCAGTTCTTTAATGCTTTTGTTCTTTATCGTTGGTGCTGCCTCTTTTTTCTTTTTTAAATACAAAGTAAAAGGGCTGGAGATACTAGCTGTACATGTTAGTTCATCCTGCCATGGGAGCCTGACCGTTGTGAGACATTCAATGACTTTAATTATTTTATTTCACTTTGTTTATTTATTTTAATGTGACCAGAGAGGGACAGAGTGAGAGAGAGAAAGAGAGCGGGAAAGTGAGAAAGCAAGCTGCCAGGTCCAGGACCCGAATCGCGTTCAGCCACGATGCCACCTGCCGGCCCATTCAATGACTGTAACTAGGTCCCCCTGCCTTAAGTCCTCAGGACAGCACCTGATGCCCTCCTGAGGGCTCTCAAGACTGTCCTGGACTTCTCATTCGGGTTGGGCCCGTCGGAAAAGTCCTGTAGGAACTTCAGGTCACAGTGAGGAGACCTCCTAGAATTTATTTTCTGTGGCATTTAGCCTGGGACTTCTCTCCCACAATCTATTACCCAGGCACTTAGGCCGGCGCCTCAGCTGACACGGACCAGCCAGCGACAGCCAAGCCAAGAACTGGAGGTGGGGTCACTGACTGGTGACTCTGAGCTGCGCTCAATCACACCGAGCCTGGGTGCTCTGGGCAGGGTGGGGCTGCCGGGAGGCTGCCAGGGCCTGGACAAGGCAGCGTGATGCCCCCACCCGGAGCGGCATCGCACACCCTCCTGCAGGTGGGGGCCTTGGAGACAGGGAGGAGAGCTGGGGAGAAACTGAGGCCCTGACACTGACGTAGCCCGTTTCTCGCAACTCCTCCTATGACGTAATTGCAGGGAGGAAGCGATTGGAATTTCTAAGGCTCCTCACATTTCTCTAGTGCAATATGATTTGAAGAGCACAATAAAAAAAGTCTCTTCTACAATTAAAAAGTTATTATTATTATTTAATTTGCTATAGGGCATACATACTCACTAGAGAGAGAGACAGAGAGAGAAAGAGGGAAAGTGAGAAAGCAAGCCGCCAATCCTGGACTCGAACTGCAGTGGGCCATATGGGAGTCCAATGCCTTAAGCACCGCGCTACCTGCTGGCCCCAAAAAAGTCTTGATACTGACTGAGGCTGCCTCCCTGGCTGGGTTCAGAGGGTGGCACTCATTGTCACCATCACACTTTGGTCAACTACTTGCTGCTTCCTCCAGGATGGGTGTCTGTGTGTGTGGTGCGTACATGCACGCACATGTGTGATCAGGAGGCGGGGTGGTAGCTGCTGATGCAGGCACACCCAGCAGGCCCCTGGGGTGGACAGGAGGGTCTTTGGTTCCTCCCTAAGGTTTGGGTACTGCTCCCCCGCTCCCCTCTATCCTGATCCTCCCTGTCCCTGACCATTGCCTGGTTTATTTCATTCTGACACTCATGCAGTTCTGTGTCCCCCAACACTGCCTTCTTAGGGGACAATGAGAGTTTGCCTCTGTCTTCGTCCTCTGTGGTGCACTGGCCAAAGTCACAGTGCCCTTTGTGACATCCCCTGGATGGGGAGCCTGTTGTGAGGACTCATGTATCGTGTACCTGTGTGCCCCTGCTAACACGGACGTGTGTGGCAGGAAGGAAGGGTGGGCAGGGAGGTCTGGCCTGGGCGCTGGGTTTGCCGCCCCTGCAGCTGTCATCGGGGCAGTGTCCCCCATCCTCAGGTTTGTCCCTTTGAGCTCCAGGGCAAGACAAGAGGCCACGATGCCTTCTTGCTCCTCTAGGGACCAGGCAGGTGTTGAGATGTTCCTGTCGGGGGTTCTGGCTGGTTCGTCCCAGCAGGTCAGGGCAGCCCACGGGGAACAGGCAAAGCCCATCAGGGCCGACGACCCAGGGCTTTGCTGCCAGAGAGCACCCTTCTGATTCCAGCACCATCACAGAGCCCGAGACCTGCCTGTGCTTGCTGTGCTGGCGCGCCCTACACCCATGATCTGGGCTGGCTGGGACTGGGGGTTGGATTGTGATGTGAGGACCCTGTTGGGGTGCCTGTTTTCCTCTCCCTTCTTTGTGTTTCTCCTTGTGGAAGAAATAGTAAACTTAAAAACAAAAACGAGAGCTAACCCATAGCTCAGGCGTCTGGTCCCACATGGCTGACTGTGTAGCTGGCTTCTGCACCAGCCGGCTTGAAAGCACTCTGGGCACATATGCCTAAGTCCTGAGAAGAGAATGGAGGAGAGATTGTGGGCCACTATTCCCCGTGGCAGATACTTCCTCACTTTTAGCAAATTAAAAAAACAAAACAAAACAAAAACAGAACAACTTGACACTTTTTGGACTGCAGGCTTGGGCTCTGGGGAAAGGCGGGTGGCGAGGGAGGTGGTGGCAGTGCAGGTGGGGTGGGATCTGGAGAAGTCATACTGAGAAAAAGGGTCTCCGTGATCCTGGAGGGCTCCCCACATCCAGATCCTCCCTGGGCCTCCCTCAGCAGTAACCTTCTGCTCAGACCTTCGCTCACCTCCCTGTTGCCCACAAGCCAATGAGCTATTCCCTTCACAGCCCAGCCGACCCTGCCCTAGTCCCCCACAGGGCCCTCAGGCCATCAGAGGCTCCCTCCGGCTCCTTCCCTTCAGGGCTCACTGCTCTCCTCAGTGCTGGCGTCCACCCGCTGCATTCCCTCGCCCCACCAGGAGGAGGTGCTGTCGCTCCCCAGGGCTCCCACCCTCCACGGCTGCCAGAGCCTCCAGGCAGGCCACCCTTCCTTCTCTCTCCCCATGACTCAGCGCGTGCTGTCGTAGCGCCTGCCCGGGCACCTGCTCTGTCTCCCGGGTTGGTCGAGGAGAGGGCCGCCATGTTCCTCATTTTCCTCTTGCCAGCAGGCACACCTGGCCCTGAGCCTGGCCCAGGGGCCATGCTGGCTTGTTGCAACGAGGAGTCCGTAACGTAACGGATTCACAGGAGCGCCAGGGACCAGCTTCTGTCTTGTAAGGCGGCTTGCAGTTCCGGGGTCCCAGACTGCCCTGGTCAGGCGCAGCTGGTTACTGAGCTGTAGTGACCGCCTCCTCCCAGGGCCGCCCTGCTTCACGGGACACCCACTCCCCGGGCCAATCCTGTTCTGTTTCTATTCTAAAGTGTACTCAATTCTTCCCTGGAGGGGGTCGGGGGGAGAGACAGTCACCTCCAGCAGGGTCCTCCTGCCACAGGCCATGCCGACCTCAGCCAACCTGGTCATGGCGCCCACCTGGGTGTGTAGGAAGGTTCAGGGACGTGAACCATGCACCTTCCTTGGGGGGTCCAGCTGCATCACTTCTGGGCCACCTGTAGTGAAGGGGAGGAGCTGCCACAGATCGGGCCTGGGCTGGGGGGTGGGGTGCTCCGCAAGATGGGATTTAAAGCAATTCCCCTGCCAGTGGTGGGTCATCAGAGATGGCACCCCAGTGGCTCTGAGGTCCCAGTGGGGGCCGTGGATTTAAAGGCAACCAGCACCCCCACCCCCTCCTGAGACCGGGGCTGCCTGGTCCAGGAAGGCACAGCTGCAGGCCCCGCACTGCAGGAGGAAACAACCCGCGAGGGGCTTCGCTCGCCTTCTGCCCCCAGGAACTTGGGGACCTGCTGCCCTCTCAGAGCTCATTAAATGTCACCCGGCACCTGCTTTCCGATGGTGCAGTGGGGCACACACGCCGTGGGGTGCTGTAAGCAGAAAGAGCATGCGAGGTGGGTGGGAGGGGCAGACCCGGAACCCTGGGTCCCTCAGTCTCACACTTGGCTGCAAACGTCACATCTGTGGCAACCTCTTGAGAGGAATGGCAGGTGATGTACGAGGAGACTTTAAAAAGTCTGTGGATGGGCCAGCAGGTGGCGTAGTGGTGAAGGCACTGGACTCCCACGTGGCTGACCATGGTTAGAGTCCCGGACCCAGCAGCTTGAAACTCATGCTGAGCACGTGGGCATGTGTGCCAAAATCCAGGAGAATGGAGAAGGGATTGAAGCATGGCTATCCCCCGTTGATGGGAGGAGGGATTTCTCACTTTCTGTCTCTCAGGGAGCACACATGCCCTATACCAAAAATCTCTTTAAAAAAAAGTCTAAGGAAAAATGGAATTACAGTATGAGGTTAATTTTGTCCCCCAAAACTTTAAGTTTCTTCATCATGGACACTTTTTGGGAAGTTTTTAGACTCTGTACTTAAATTCACCCATTGGGCCCCAGAATGCTGTCAACTTTGGGACTTGGGGAAGTACTGGGCAGAGCCAGGAAGGACCTCTCCTTTATGCACTGTGAAAAGGCAGGCTAGGGCGCTGTGCATGGGCCCTGAGGCTGGAGAAATTTTCCTCTGTGCCTGTGGGAGCAGCAGAGCCACTGCAGGGGGCAGCCTCTACTTCGTACTCT